ACCTCACAGATAGGTGCTTATTTGTATTTGTTGAATGGATTTGTTATAGATTATTTGAATAAGAGCAGGGTCTGCTTGGAACTCTGTTGAGAAGGAAAAGAGAGAGCCGAGGCCCAGGCCTGGGTTTGGGAAGCAAACCCTCTGGAGTCTGGAGCCATGTCAGTCTGGTCTGTTTTGACACTGCCGTAACCCAGGGCTGATGCAGGGCTGGGCTGGGGGCAGCAGGCGATTTCCAGACCGTATTTCCCAGTTGCTGCCATGCTCCCATGGTTTGTCTGCAAGTGCCTGGCCACTGCTGTTCACAGGCCTGGGGCCAGAGCAGACGCAGGCTGCCCATGGGTGGTACTCCCCAAGAGTGGACCCATGAACCCTATTTCTTTGTCAGAGGACAGGGGTCAGAGGTGGTTCTCAGCCCGTCACGAGAAGGACCAAGGCCCCGACTGCACAGATGTGATTGTAAAGCACAGGTGGGCATGAAAATTATGAAACTGGGAGCTTTGTTAATTAGGCCCAAGGACAGTGATTTTCTTTACCCTCCCTTGAAAAAGTGCATCTCAAATCAGCTGCTGGGTGTGAATGACTGGAAAGAAAGGAGGCAGAGAAGGCGAGATATAAACAATGTGTTGTTTCACTGAACAAGGCCTTCTTTTCAAGTGACCTTGGTCAGTATTCGTAACAGGAAGGTTAGATGGTAATTGATTTTGTTTAACCTACACGTTAAGTGAAAGAGCAGCCTTTTTACTCGCATCTCTTCTTAATTAAAGCAATTAATAGCTTAGGGATTCTCTGTATGCCTTGTCCAAGCTCATTCATGCATCTCCTTTATATGGAGGGAGACTGCTGGGACGTGTCTCTCCCCACCCACCATGTGTGTGTCTTGCTGCTGTGGTGTTTGTTTGTTTTTGTAGAAACAGTCACATTGGGGATGTGGTCAGCTTGAAGTCCCCTTGAGTAAATCCCACCTTGTCAAACTATCTTGCAGCTTTTTCCCCCCCTTAAGAAAATAGATTCTATGTCCAGAATCTGACCAGCTCCCATGACATCTATGCCACCACCCTGGCCCACACCACTAGCATCTCCCCTGGTTACTGTCCACGGGGCAGGAGTTGCTCTTCCATCTTCCACTCTGACTCCTGCAGCCCACTCGACACAGCAGCAGGACCCTCAGAATGAGGCCTGATAATGGTACCCATGGCAGTTGTCACATCAGTCGTGCAGCTTCTTTGGGGAGGATTTAAGTGGGTCCAAAAATACCTGCAGGTGTTTGTTCTTGCACACGGGCTGCTCAGGGGTGCTGCTGCTTCCTAAGCTGTTTGAACGTGGAGGAACACAGAGAGGTGTCAGAAAGGGCTGGTGGAAAATGTCATCCCCAGTGGAGATACAAACTGAAAGAGCCAGTTTTATTTTTATAACGTGAGCGACTTTCTTGTACGTCGGTGAGTCTTGTACGTCGGTGAGTCACCAAAAGTCTGCTCCACGTGGACTGCTAGCTCCTCCGCAGTGGCCTCTGCCCTCTCCACTTAGGTGGCTTAGGTGGCGGGCTTTGGCTGGTTCAGGTTTCAGGTAAACAGGCTCACGAGCTTGTAATTGTGTTGCGGTGTTGCCTCAGCGGGCTCAGAAAAACCAATGCTCCTGCTTAACTCTCTGCGTGATTCCCAAACTAATGCTAAATAATCCAGTTTTCTTTGCAATTCTGTTAAAAGGTAGGAAAGTAGATCCTCTTATCCTATAAAAGGCTCACCTAAGATGTACCCCGACCCACAGGAAACTGTGCACCCTTTTATCTCAACCCACTATGAAGACCTTAATGACACATTCCGTAAAGAGAAACTCTTTTGCCTCCTGGGACAGGGCTTCGTTTGACATTGAAACCCATTTAAAACGGCAGAAGAGAGCATGAACAAAAGCGGAGTTCAGTTTGGGGAACGCCTGCTTTTGTCCCGCGTGATAGTGATCTGTCCCCGGACTGCTCACTCTGGGGCCTGGCCGAGCGTCTTTGTCTATACGGTGTTTTATGTGGGAGCTCTGGGGTGACTGCTGGTCCGTGGTCTCGCTCACAGGCCGCCTCTTCGGCAGGGCTGCCCTGGCTTGGCAGCTGCTGGCTGCGTCCCCAGGTACTTTCAGGGCAAAGACTGTTGTGTTAGAACCACCTGCCATCTGTCGGTGAAAATGTTTTGGATTCTAGATCATGAGTCACTCGTTTCTCCTGCTGTTCCTTCTGCTGCCGGGCCTAATCTGCCTATGGGACTCTACTGGGGGACGTGCTGGAAGACCTTGTCGTGAAGCTTTGTCCTATGCAAGGTTCATATCCCCAGTGACCAGTCTTCCTGGTGCCACCGCTAGAAACCGTGGTGGAGAGCTGCCTTGGCATTTCCATGAGAGGGGGGGAAGAGACAGTGCCATCCAGCCTGAGCCTCACTCTGGGGTCCTTCACGGGTAAAGCCTCAGCAGCCAACTTCAGCCTGGTCTGAGCGTCCAGAGGTGGTTCCACGTTTTCTTGTCCACGCTCTCTTGCTCAGGTGCCAAAAGCCGAGTATGGCACGGGTGGGCCCTCCATGACTGTTGGTTAAATGAATGACTGAGGGTAAGGCTGACCAACCCGGGGCCACCAAGAGAAGCGCACCGGGCCGAGCTTAGGCCATCAGGCCAGAGTGCCTAATTGGCAATACCATACGCAGAGCTGCCAAGAACTCTGAAATTCTGACACAGTCTGCTCTTGCCAACCTCAAGAGGAGAGTATGTGAAATAATTTCCAGGAGAAATTCGGAGACTCTTCCATACAAGCAAGCTTCATGCTGTGATAGGAGCTGACAGCAAGAGCCGTGGGAGGGGTGGCATCTGCAGGGCCTGGGATCGAGAACTTGGAGCGAACAGCAGAGCCAAATGCCTTGCCAAGGAGAACACTGAAGATCAGGTTAACGAACCCCTCTGTCCACTAGAGTGTGGCAGCCGAAGCCTTGGGCTAAAATATAAGATGCGCTTCTCCAGTGACTCAGTTTCACACAAATCGGTTTTATTGTGAGAATCATATTTTGTCCATCAAAAAAGTTTATTAAGCTGGTTCAGATCTAGCTTTATTCATATATCCTAAAATATGTCCATGCTTCCTGCCTTCTATATTTTCCAACCCCCACCCCCAAATTCTAAGCTGAACAGCAGCAGCAAACCCCTAAGTGCGGAGGTTTCTAACTCCTTCGAGCTTGCCCCATTTCCCTGCAGTGTGCTCAAGATTTCCTGCCTGAAGAAATTACCGAATCCCAGGTGGGTGGCGTTTTATTCTTGCCGCAGAATAGGTGTGATTTTGTGGGAGGCTCTTCCCCCAGCCTGCTCGCTCGATCAAAGGCAGAGTTATGTACTTGAGTCCCGGGTGGGAGGTGAAACTCCTGTACTGTACTGCGAGTGTCAGGCTCGAGCCACTGTCCCTTCTGTGATGGTCAGGAATTGGGAGACCTGGCCTGTTGCATGGGCTCCCTCAGGCACTGCCAGCCCCAGCCGACCTCTGCAGTCAGAGGAGCTGCTGACCAAACCCTTCTGGTCTTAAGGAAATTTCGCCACCTATTCTAGGTTGATTGGTTAGTGTGGGGTGCAGTTAGGACAGGGTGAGCCTTCTTCAGTGGAAATGGTGGCGATGCTTATCTCCATGGCTGAGTATTGATTTGCTGGAAGCCACGTTTCCAACCACATTCCTTATCTATGCCCAAGATGCACTTGGTGCGGAGGCAGCAACAATGATAAGCTTCTAGAACTCCTGCCTTCTCTGTGCATATCAGTTCTCAGGGCTTCATGATGGCCCAGCTCCGGGAGGTGGGGGATGGAGGTGGGGACACACGTTTCCCTACTCTGAGTAGTGATTTGGCCATAAAGGGGATCCAGATGATACGTGGGAATCTTGCTAAACTAGCAATACAAGGGAACTTTGGCAAATTGTCCATGTCACCACTCAGAGTTGGAAAAACAAGGCTCTATGGTTTTCAACACAGCCACAGGCTGAGGTGGTCAGAAGTGCTTCCTGCCACCCAGCCGGACCGGACACTCGGACACACGGTCTCTCAGCACAGGCATAGCATGTGACACCAAATCCAGGTGCCCTGCCCCTGCGGAGGATCCTAAATCAGAGAATAGGCACATCCACACCCAGGTGAGCCGGGGGGCCTTTAGTACAAACCCGCAGACTTGTAGGTTTACACTTACAAAACAAAAGATTCTATTACTGACAGAAGCAAAGGAAATCAGATCACGCTGGCTTTCCTCAGTTTTGGAAGAAATCTGCACTCAGAGAGCAGCTACCAAATGCTGTAAGCCTGGTCAGTCTCTATTTCAAAGTAGCTACCGGCTAATCTACAGCCTAGAAGTGATTTGCTTTCCAACCCTCAGACTGTTTTAGACATCGGATGTAGTGGGGGATTTGTACCAGCGAAAGACCTGTTCTTTCTGCTTTGGCCACCTCATACAAACAGAAAACCCCAAGAAACACTAGCCACCTATGCTCAGCAAAGGGGCTGCTTCCAAGGTAAGGTCACCACCTGTTTCTTAAAGATGCTTTCAAGAAATACAAATGCCACTTCAACATTTCCTGAGTCCTGGTTATTTACCAGACCAGAATCCTCTCTGGGAAGTGTTTAATCCTGCATCAAATACAGAAAGGCAAACCATTGGCCTCAAGAGAGAAAGACAGTTCACTGTAAAGGAGAGCAGGTGCCCCAGGAAGGTCCCAAAGCTCTGGGAAGGAGAAGACCTGGGCACAGCTCTTGTAGGAAAAGCCCTGGTAACTGAGCAGTTCGCTCCAGGAGTGGAGAGAATTTAACAACTGGAAGAGAATCTTAGCGCACCTGGTGCAGGTGCAGGTTTCACTGCTTCAAAGGAGCTGCTGTGAAGAAGAGAGTCCCAAGAATCATAGCTGTACCAGGTTCACGTGGCACTTGGAACCGCCTGCCCGGGAGGCCATGGCACCTGAGCATGCTCCTTGCTGAGTCCCAGGACCCCAGGGGGTGGCTGTGGACTCAGCCCCACCGCTCCCCATCTTCCTGTGAGATGCCCAGCACCAGAACCGACTTGTGAGGGATCCTGCACTCCTGCAGAGACTTGGTGAGGTCGGAGAAACACCTCCTGGGCACCTCCATCGTTTCAATGCTGCAGTGTCGGTAGGTGGCCTTGTTCTTGCGCTCGGCCACGGCCACAATGGTCTGTAAGTCATCAGTTGGCCGGAAATGGCGAACGAACCTTCGGCCCGATGGTGATCTGACGGCAAGTAGCAGCCTTGGCTCCTGATCGGAGGGTTCCTCCGGGTCCCCAGCCCCTGAGGCGCTCTGTCTCTTGGCCTGGATGATGAGCATCCTCTCCCGGGAGTGAAGGGGGGCTCTGGGATCGTCCTGGCTTGGCTTTGTGGTGCGGGTCTCCTCTTGGATGCAGCTCAGCTGCAGAGAGCCGGCCCTTTCAGCTACCGTTTCCACAGCTCCCTCCTCCTGGGCCTTCCTGCTGATGGAAGGGAGGACCCGGTATTTATTGAGGGAGGAGGAAGCCCCCATGGGCACCTGCTGCAGCAGTTCAGGGACCTCATCGGGAGCTCCCTTATTTGGAGACCTGGGCGCACAGGCTCCTGCTTTCTGGCTGCCTGGCGACTCGCAGGGAATGGCTGGAGGTGGAGAGGACGGCGTGCAGCGAGAGCGTACCCCTGTGCCCTGGGGTTTGTGTAGACTTGGCCGTGTACGTCCCTTGGCCGACTTGGGCCTTATGACATGCATGGTCAGTGAGTTTGGCTGCCAGATGAAGCGGTCGGCTGCTGTGCTGACGGCGGTGCTGCATTCAGGGGGGCCTATATTCACAGGGGCTTCTGTGGCCATTGCTTCTTAAGACCCCTAAGGGAGCAGAAGAAAAGAGAGGAGGCCATGGATTAAACTTCCTGGGACTTCTGGATCCAGCCACTCCCCAGGTACCAGAATAAGCCAACTGGCAACAATGGAAAAGGGCACTATTTGTAATTCATTCATTCATTCATTCATTCATTCATTCATTCATTCATTCCAGGTATTGGAATGTATCAGTGAACCAAAATCCTTGGAACTTAATTATAGTGAGGAAAAACAAATGTTAAACCTACAAGTAAATAGATATTTTTCAAAGAGTAATAACTGCAATGAAGAAAATAAAGCATTGCATCGGAGAGTGACTAGGGTGGGGACTAACTCTGATTCTTAATTCGGGGGGCGGGGCAGGCTTCAAGCTGAGAGACCAGAATGATGAGAAGGAACCAGCTATGTTGCAACCTAGCGCAGGGTCAGCTAACTTTCTGTCAACACTTTCGGCTTTGGGAGCCACTGCAAGGTCTTGGGTTCCTTCCTCCCTCTGAATCCTGACCACTACTGGAACTGCTACTTTCTCTGCCCACAGGATGGCCAGCCCTCTAAAGACCTGGTAACTTGCCAGTGCCTCATGGTCCCTAAGCAGCGGCATGTTTGGGTGCAAAGGACCCAGGTTCTGGAGTCCCAAGACCTGGGTTCAACTTCAGGCTCTGTCTGGAGCTAGCTAAGTGACCACAGGACAGTTGCTCCATCTTTCTGGTATATCACTTTCCTTGTTTATAGAATTAGCCATATAACCCTGAAGACATTATTTAAATACCTCTGAACATGAGTCTCTTTATCTGAAACATGAGGATAGCAATATGAAATAACATAGGTAGGGCTGAGCCCACCAGGCTTGGTGTATAGTAAAGACTTAATTAAATGGTTCAGGGCTTTTTTTGCTTTTGGTTTTCTGTTTATTTACTGCTTTTATTATTTTAGGCCCAAATGCTTTGCCTGTTGCTTCGGCGCTCTTCCCAGGGGGTGGGGGCTGGGGGTGGCAGTTAACTCTAACCAGCTGGTTGAGTCATGGGACTCACGCCTGCCCGCCCACTGCACAGAAATGGCGGGAGGTTGATTCCAGTGGGCTACTGCCTACTAAAATTGCTTCGAAAATATGAGATCGATGCTTTCTAACAACTCCCTTCTAATCCCACACTTTAATCTTACACTTACCTCAAATTCACTTACTCCACGATTTCATCCCACAATCCCCAACGATGTAACCCGAGCCCCTCAGCTCTGCTCTCCACCGGCACTGTTCTGTGCACATTACCTAATTATTGCCTAATTTTAGGGAGCCTCTCCTTCCTCTCCATTAAAACCACAACTGAGCAACACACAATATCCCTGTATGTCCCTGAAATCCTACTCAGTGCAGAATCTTGCACAAAGCTACCCTCTCTTTCTGTACTTAACGGCCTCTGCCTTTTCTCTGTTCTACTCAGAGACCCAGCCTCCCTATGCTCCCATTTTCCATTTCTCGCTCGTCTTTCACACCCAATCTGGCGGCTGGGAGTTCAGGAGCCTTCTCCTTGGCATCCAAAACGCCTGCCTGTCTCCTTGTTAATCTATTTTCTGATCAACTGTGAAGAATGTTGGGTTTCTTCCCCCCGCCCTTTTAGTGCAGTTCTAACGTCTTTCCCTTGTAATTAAGCAATTCTGCACTTTAACTCGGGACAGCTCGAGGAGGTCATCCTTGTCCAACTGTTCTGCCAAAGATAAGCTCAACCGGCACAGAGACTCCCCCTCTCTGCCCACCCTCCTCGCTGGCGGAATGGCTATTAATTTGCCACAGCTTCTACAGAATTATCACAGGCCTGGCTTCCAACTCCCACACATGCCTCGGGAAGGTTTTGCTTGTCAGTGAGTTTGGTAACTTAGAAACCCCTTCCCTAACAACTTTGAAGAGCAGAGTCATGTGTTCTCCCAGGCTCTCTGCTGGATTATTTTTAAATCAAACTTGAGTCTGTGCATGCACTTTCTATACCTCTTGGTACCATATAATTACCCGTGTTCAGGGGGTGTCATATTCAAGACACGCTGGTCAAAAGATAACATGACTGTGAGCTATCTCAGAGCAAAACCTCAGTTATGATTCATTCCTGTAAGCCCACTCATGGTTATTTAGAGACTAACACCTCCTTCAGGTAAAACCATCCCATTGAACCTGCTTTCATAACCCACTGCCTCCTCTCCAGTGCAGGGACCATCTGTTACGTGGCGGGAACATCAACCCTCCCCAGCATCTCGAACGTGGAGAGGGGAGGTGGGGCAAACAGGTGTTTGGGGACCAGGGCCAACTTTGTGACTTTATACTCACACCTTGGGTCCTGAACCCCTGACCACCCCCCTCAGTCCAGAAAGCCTTCTGCAGCATCCATCACTATCCCTACTCTGCTCATTTCACCAACTCTAGGCCTGGCAGACACAGCCACAGAGTGATCTGACAAGATCTAGGCGTAGGCATCCATCAAGCTGCCAGCTGAATAGGGAAGTGGCCTGTTTATTTAAACATAAGAGCTGCGCCCAGAGGCCTGCTAGGAGTCAGGAAACAAACATTGAGGACTGTTCCCAAGGAGCTGCCAGAAGGGCAGGTGCTCCTTCCTTAAAATTAATCACCAAATCAGCTGGAAAGAAGGCAAATTTGATAGGAGCAGCGAATGCCCAATTCCCGCTTCCCGAGGGCCCACCTCCCACCACAAGGGTCAGACCACCCAATTTCACTCACAGCCCAAATCTAAATCCACTGTGGATGCGATAAAATATAACCACCCACAGACCATCTGCGGGTATGGACTGGGACGCATACATTCGAATTGGTTTTAAAAAAATATTTATCAGTTAATACAATCCCCCTGCCAATTCCCACCCCTCCTTGTGAGGCTTTTAGGATAAAAACGCTCAGGAGAACCAACAGGAGGTGGTTGTGGGCCTGAGGCTGAGAAAACTTTGGTACCATTCCCAGTTGGAACCAGGACGAATGGTTAGAATCCACTGTCCTGTGCAGACCGCCACGTCTAAGGGGCGAGTGGAGACACTGGACACACGCCACCAAGTGCTCAAAGGTTTGGAAAAGGCCTTGGGAATGATTCCCAGGGGAATGAGTGGGTGGGTGGGTGGAGGGGGGCCGCTCCTGAAGGAAACCAACTAACGCAGCCGCAGGGGGCAGTTGGGGGAGGGGCAAGAACTTGCAGAAACTGAGTTGACTCGGGAGGAAGAGCACCGGCCTGGGGGAGGCTCGGGGCTGGTTCCGGTCTCTCCATGTGACGGGACGTCCTCCGGTCCCTCTGTGTCTGGGTCCTGTCTGTACTGCCCAGCCAGCGGGGCATGGCCCAACGGTTTCCCAGGCCCCTCGGCTGCAGCAGAGCCCTGGAGTTGTCCTATTCCGGCAACGGTGAGCCCCGGCCAGGCTGGCTTTGCCACTGGGGAGCAGCCACTACTCCCGGGGCACCTGTCCTGCCGCCCAGGGGTCGCCCGGGTCCGGGCTGGGGAAGCCCGCCCGCGCGGGCG